AATATCATTGCTGTATTATACGTTCAACAATATATATATATATATATATATGGCTTTGGTTGAAGACATAAGACGTGGCACAAAGTGATTGCACGTTTTTTAGTAAAAGAAATATTCTAAATTAGATGAGAGATGTTTCTCACACACAATCAAAATGTTATGGAGGTTCGAACCTGTCAATGCATTTTTTCACTAAGCTGGACCCATTTAGCAAAGTGATTGCATATTTGTATAATATTATTATTATAGGACTGTTAGGATAGGAGTTGACGAAGTATATAAATCATGGTTGTCACGTTCACACATGAATGAGCAAAGGCAAGACCATCTCGTGATTGTGTGTGAATGCATCTGAAGATATATATGTCCATCGATTTTTAGAGGTCAACGGGGTTGCTGTCCTGAATGATCGCTTCTTTTACCAGAAAAGGAAAAGCCAGCAACTTGTTTTCAAAAGTGGCTTTTTTTCAGTCCACGTCTGGCGATGAAGTGCTACAATGTCACCCAAATACAAAGACAAATATTCGCTTGCCTAAAATATTGATGACATAACACTAGGGTTAGGAATGGGCATGATTCGATTCCCCTAAACCATCAACCAAATTGTAGCCGCATTTCTGATTCAGTCCAAACTGATTGATTAGCTTGGTTTGGTTTGGTTTATGGTTTGGTACTAAACCAACACCGGTGTTGGTGAAGTAATGAGAATTCTATAGTGAGAGCCTTATATATGGCTCTTAAATGAGACCCCTATCTCTTACTGTTAGATCAAATTGATTAGCTCTTTGATCAAATTAGTTAGTTTAATCTAACGGTTAAGAAATAGGACCTCATATAAGGGTCATATATAAGGGTCTCACTATAAAAATAAGTCGGTGAAGTAATTATCAATTGGGCCTTAGGGTTAGTTGGGTATAAGTTAGGCCCAAATGATTTGGATATAAATTGGGCCTACAAAATTATTTGGATATTTTTTTTAGAAGTAAAATTAATACCACCAATTCAATTAGGTTTGGACTAAAGTTTTGTTTTGTGTGTGCTTTTTTTAAGGACATTTTCTACTGAGAGGGACATAACATATTAAACTTACAAACACTATACGGATGCTAGAATTCAAACTCAGAAAAGGTCATGGGGGAGCAAATTGCTCAAAACCACTACACTAGTGAGTCATTTGCTTGTAATGCTTAAACCCATAAATAGAATCAAAACTTCTTTTTTTCTTGGTGTCAACACAAATTTTCTGATTATTTCGGTTCAATCCTTATGTTCATTGATTCAAATGCCCACCCATATAAAACAGACGAAGAGTTAGCTTCCATTATGCGTTTGAACTTTGCAATGAAGATTTGCATGGAGAAAGGGAATATGAACCTAGAGAAGTCTATGCAAGAGCTGAAAAGCTTCGTCCACTGAGCCTTACCAAGCTACCTGCGAGCAGGGAAGCTTCATCCATTTAAGAAATTAACTTTGCTAAGCATATGGGCTTGATGTAAATAGGTAAAGCATCTATAGCTACAACCTACAATTGGTTTTACATGCATATGCATTACGCTTGCTTGTTGGTTAGTCGACACAATGCTTTTAATGGTGAGATCATCCTAATTGTCACCATTTCCTTTTCTCTTTTGTTTCTTGAGTGACTTGACAGGAATTGGACCTCTTCAAGTGACATACGCTTTCCATTTTGACCTTCGCCCATCAAAGTTAAAACACTTGATTCATATATATATATATATATGAATCTGTAGCCATGTATTTCACAAAAAGTTATATCTTTACTTAGCTTAATAATGTTCAGCTTGTGGTTTTGATTGATTCCATGATCACTCATCGTTTTGAAGTCGGCAACCAAAAACAAGCATACAAAATTGATGGTGACAATTCTCCATTATGACTTCTCTGCCTATTCTTACGGTACTTCATACTATTTTGTGATATGTTTACTCGAAGTAGAAAAAGTTATAAATCGGAAGTCAGGAATAAGAGAGAAAATAAGTAAATATAACCTCCTTAATTCATCTAATTCCTCACTTTGTAGATATTGTGTTACAAATCCTAACATGAAACACACGTCCTTTGTTTCATGAGGACTAGTCAAATACAGCAAGGGGGTCTCTAAACACGTGTTCCTGTTTGCATAAACATGATCCAAGATTTAGTTGTGCCATAATCTACCCAAGTACATATATTACTACATTCTACATATACAAAATCAAAGTACATGTGATGATGCTTATGATCATCTTTTCTTAAATCCGTACTTCTTTCTTTCATAAAAGAGGTCAGTTTTGGCACTGCCTAAATTTACTATCTTTGGACATCCATCCCTATCCTTCTCTTGTTGTGTACACTCTTTGCAATAGTAGGCATCTGAAATTCCAACTCCTCCACAGATAACGCACCGGCCTTGAAAAGATCCGTAGTTGCATTCATCACAAACCCTCACAAGTGTGCAAGGACGAACGTAGGAATCACAGATGACGCACTTGCCATCACACTTCTCGCACAGCCGCCCAATGGCGATCCCGGGTTGCTTCCGGCACATAATCAGATCAGGGTGATGCTTGGCCATCCCTCACTATTTTGTATTGACCTGCATAGACATACCCATGTTGGATGGTCTTATTAGCATTTGAATATGGAAGTTTTTCTATAAATGAATGAATTTAAAGAAGCTAGACTACAAAACACAGGCAGGACCAACATCTAGAACAACCGAAAAGCCAACATAGAGAAACGAACAAGCACACAACCTGCCACTCAAGTAGGGAACAAAGTCACGCCTAAGCATAGGAACAAACAATAGAACAAAACAGACCCCATCAGAAGCAGATACAAAACCAAAGTCACATGGGCAGACGCCATTCTCGTAGAATGACCAAGTTCAGAGGAGAGCAAGTGATCTGCAGCGAACATGAATGCAATCAAATGGTGGCCTCAATAGACTTGAACACATCAAATGGAGGAAAGGGACCAAATTTTTTATTCAAATTTGGAATTGATATGAGACAAAGCTCAAACATTAAAGCACTAATTAAAAATCAAATACATGACGATTAATATATTCTCTGTCACACAGTCTAATACAAAATAACATGTCGGTAACTACGTGTTGACATAATGTAAATCCGAACACCCATTTAACATGTTGCGTTGTTAGACCGTCAATATTTTCTCCGAAAGATACCCAACAAAGGATTTCTTCGATCAAGAAAACATTGCCCAATACATGACCACAAATACAGAGAACTTTGTGCAGACAGAGCACGTTAAGTTTACATGAGCCATCAAATAATGCAACAATCACAAAGCATGATAAGAACATCAATCAAATTCAAATAGCAAAAACAATTTCTTTTCAATTGCCAACACCTAAGCCACAAATTTTGGAGAAAAAAACAAAAACCCAAATACCAAAAACAATTTCTTTTCAATACTAACCACAACAAATTTTAAAATATATACATATATATAAAGAAATTCTAAACCAAACTCACAAAACGAAGATAACATAAATAAAGTCTCTGGCAGAGGGCTAACCTGCACCGCAGACAGTAGGCTTAGTTGTCCTCAACTTCTCCGATGTGCTAACTGGCGCCGGTGTTAAACAAACTCAGTACAAGCTCTGCTAATCCATGTTTTATACGAGAGAAGAGAGATGCTTTGGTATTTCAGAACAATCCAGATTTTCGAGTCGGTGCGGCAAGCCGGGCCCACCATAAATTCGGTTTTAAATTTGGGCCTCCATGGATACTTGCTCCAAAGGCTAAATTGGGTTTTGTCTTGCCCTTTGGGCCCTTTTGTTTTTTTTGACCTTTTGCTTTTTTTGGACCTTTGTGTTTTGTCCTATTCATAAAGGGAACAAATAATCCGAAAGTCATATTAAGACTTCTTTTATATAAAAAAAAATATTAGTGTGATGACACAGGACAAAATTTATTGTCTCAAAAAGAGCAGCTTTCAATAACTTTTTAAGATCGACCGGGGTCCAGCGAAAGTGCCAAAGATCTCAGGAGGACATTTAAATGGATGCAAGAAAATTGTCTATAAAGGTACTATTTCTCCGCTAGTTTTTCTTTTGTAAATGACCCGTTAGTGTGTTGATTTGTAGTCATTATTCATTTAAGTAAAGTTTTAGGTTCGAATCTTAGCATTCGTGTAGTATATGTGAATTTAGTATACTATTGTTCCTTTCAATAGAACAAATTCTTAAAAAACATAATAAAAGGGTACTAATGGATCTAACAAAATATTCAATGCTTTTATAATTATTAAATTGTCAATAACCCATTCGAGATGTGGGAAGGTAATGAAATAAAAGTCATAGTGTTTGTTGATTAACCGAGTAATTAGCTAGACAAAATCAACCACGTAACGAAATAAAAGTCATTGCATGAATATAGTAAATTTGAATACGTATTTGATTGCCTTCTTGCTCCGTTGGAAGGTCATACAAGTAAGTATAAAATGTTGCTTGTTGATTGAGTTAAGATTTATTGTAAGATCGATGACCCCACAAATAATTGAAGACTCATACCAACAAATCATCTAAAAAACTTATTGTAAGACTCATAACAATGAATAACCGTCAAATGTTCATATGCGCTCGTATAATATTTACCCATGATATGCTATATACAATTCACTTATGTATTTGATGTTTTATACGTGAATAAATACTCTTAATCGCTTACGCTAGTTGTGATGTAAATATGAACCAGTAAAAATTGCACATGTGCGATATTTGAGACAAACCTATGATACGACTGATTTAAGGGCTACCTTTCCTATACATCATAGGTCCCTTTTTTTTTAGATTGCGGGGGTCAGAGAGATAGTTATTAGAGACAAGTCACAGGAGGGACCATAGGACAGGTGTCACCAGCAAAACACGTAAAAACGACATCCTGGTCCCACTCCAAGAATAAACAAATGTCTTGGTCTCACTAAAAAATAGTTACTGTCACCTTCACGAACCTTGGCTGCTCCTCATTGCTATAAGCAGCCTGGCCGAGAAGATGACTTCCATCTCTACAAAAAAATGGCTTCCGAATCTTACCCTCCTCCATTTCGTTCACTCAACAATTCGACCCAGATCGTAGATTCGGATGAAAAAGCCTACCCGGTTCATGATTTGGAGGATCCGATACCCCTGTTGGATCTCCAGAGCCTGAAACTTGGCAAGCAGCTTGGTGAGGCCTGTGAGCAATGGGGCATTTTTCGTTTGGTAAACCATGGGGTTCCTCCAACCCTTTTGAGCCAACTTCGAGACCATGCGGAAACGTTTTTTTCTCTGCCTTTTGAATCCAAACAGAGCCTAATCACCAGGCCTCTGTCCTACTTCTGGGGCACCCCTGCCCTTACTCCATCTGGGGCAGCCTTACACAGAAAGGGTAGTACTCTGGAGAATATCAATTTGGTTGAAGGGTTCAACGTGCCCATAGCTCAACTCAATCAATTTCAAGCTGATAATCACATAGTTGCTTCTTTCAGGTACCCTTTTTTTTTTGTTTTTTTAATATTATTTTTTTTGGGAAAAACTGGACCCAATTCAAATTTTGTTTCAATTGATTGATTGCTGGGTGTTTTTACCCTAAAAAACAAAACAAGTCTCGTTTTTTCATCTAGCTTTCATCTAAACATTGTCGGGCTCTTTACAGGTAAAAAGTCTTTCTTTCTTTAACTGCAAATTGTGGCATGAAACATGCAAATATTGACTTATTAAAAGTGAATAAAATTTATGCACACAAATCACACTGTGATTTGTCTATAACGCGAAATGGTGTTTGCGCTTAAATAGGCTTTTTTTTTTTGTTCCTTTTATACATGAACTTATTTAACGAGCGCTTATAACTTTTTTGTGCCTCACAAGCCTTGTGCTAGAAGAATATGGAAAGCACCTAGCTAGAATTGCCACAACTATATTTGAAGCTATGTTAAAGAACCTTGGTTTGGATCCAATAGAATCGAAGTCCAATTTATCACATTCTACTGGCTCTGTACGTGTCTACCGTTACCCACGTTGCTCCAACTCTAACTCTGCATGGGGTTTGGACGTCCACACTGACAGCTCTGTGGTCTCGATCTTGAACCAAGATGACGTCGGTGGACTTGAAGTTCTCAAAGACAAAGACTGGTTTACTGTTAAGCCAATTCCCAACACTCTAATTATCAACCTTGGAGATATGATGCAGGTCCTCTAAGAAATAATTTAGAGTTCTTATATGTTTTGTTATGGGGAGAGTCATCCACGCACATGCAAGTGACTTTCAATCGTTGATGTCTTATGGAGAGAACGTAATAGATACAATACATCAACGATTAGAAGTCACTCACCTGCGAGTGGGTGGATGGTTGTCCTAAGCTTTTTTTCCTTATTTGTTTGATGATATATTTTTCTTAAATGGTTCAAATTTTAGGCAATAAGCGATGACAAATACAAGAGTGTGACACACAGAGTGAAGGTGAACAAAAACAAAGAGCGAATTTCAATCTGCTACTTTGTGTTCCCGGGTGAAGGCAGTGTGATTCGGAGCTCAAAGTACAAGCCTTTTACTTACAGTGATTTTCAAGAGCAAGTGCAGCAAGACATAAAAACTGTTGGGTATAAGGTTGGGCTTGAGAAGTTCAAGATTAGTGAAGCTGTTTAAGTGATGATGCTAACGGGCTCAATAATATGTCTGTGGGCTATGCACAAAAACAAAATGTTCGTGTGCCCTACGAACACCACTTTTTTCCCCTTTTGTTTTTTACTTTTGATATAATCTAAAATGTTTTTTTTTTCATCAACGAGCACTTTGTTTAGTGGTGCTTATCTTTCCAATGTTGAAATAGTTTATAAGTTTGAATTCAATTTTTAGAAAGGAAAAAAAACAGTTATTTTCTTGTTCATTCTTTGCCAGTATAATACGGACCATGATAATTTACGGCAAAAATAACTCAATGTTCAGTATATAAACTAATGCTTGAAAGATAACAAGCATTTCATGGAAGGGAATTTTATTCTTATTCGTACAAAGCAAAAAACATTTACTATCTTGCATAAGGTGAGCATTCAATCCACATCGAAAATAGAAGTCATGCATTATGGTTTTGAATTTATAGTTATACACCGATTATCAATTAGTTTTAAGTTAGACATTTACATTATAAACACGGTACCACAACAGCCTATTTACGTGTTAGACCAAACAATCACACATACTTTCACGCGATCGAATATACGTTGTCATTCACATATTTTATTTTCTCGATGTCTATATTAATTCTGGCTCTTTCTGTTTGTCTCTTCTTGACGAAAATTTTGGTCCAGAATCTTTCTGAATTTGATGCCTATATAAAGATAGTTGTCATAACTTCACTTTCAAGAATAAGACATGTCAGAGAGCCAAAAAAAAACGCAAAGAAACCAAAGAGAGCTCAGAAACTTAAAAACACTCTTCAAAATTTCGAAAGTTCAAATTGAAGCCAACAGGCCTAAATCATACAAAAGATTCACAACAAGATCTGCCTTTTGTATAGTCCACAGGATCAAACTTTCTTTTCTTTTTTTTCTTTTTTTTTTCTTTTTTTTTAAAGCAATAATTTTCATATTCTTGTGCATCAATAGAAACATCATTTTATAACATTTTTACTTATCTCGGATGGGTATTGAAATTTTACCGATTCTTGATTTCGCATCAGTTTATAAACACATGGATATTAGAAAAGTGTCATTCTCCTTACATTTAAAACAAAGTCTAAATTTCACAACATTTTCTCTTTTCTCTTTGCTAGCATTTCTCTAACATCATTAAGCAAATTAAAGGTACGCCTGCAGCCTTGGTCGAATCACATATGTTAGCCTGCATAGCATTCCATCTGGAGATTGTGTGACTGCTTGAACAGCTTGGAGCTTTAGATAGTTTTAAGTCCAGTGTGAATACTTTATGGTTCTGATAATTAATTTCAATTTATTGTGGATGGGAATTGACATCTGTGATGTGATAGGATCATCATCAGCTTAACCTGGGTGATTGGGCCATACATATTGCAGTCTCTGAAGTTAGGTGCGTTTTGGTGCAATGAAACAGTAATGGAGAAAACTTTAGTGTCACTTGGAAACGGGTAGTGTTTTTGCAGGTATAATGTCATCTGAAAATTAGCTTAATTTGAACACGACCGGTAAATAATGCCATGTGAATTGAGCACGATCCGTTAAGGTAACGAGTGAGAAAATATAAATGCATACACAACTTGTAAAAATAATAGGTTACATGACACAACCAGTCTCAGTTGTTAAGACTAAAAACTCATTTCGACCATGTGCATACAATTTTCGATATCGCGAAACATAATAGAATTAAATCCAAACAATAAAAATCATAGTGGAGATATTTTTTTATTTATAAAAAGGCGATATAATTTATACAAATTTATCAAAAAATCCAATTTTAGACATGTATTTATAAAAAAATCCAAGCACTATTTAAACATAGAAACACACCCAAAGTCAACTTTTTGGGTGTGTTTATAAATGAGTTTTGAGTGTGTGTAATGATGGGTTTTTGGTGTGTTTATATTTTTAAATAGTGCTTGGGTTTTTTTTTATAATTTCAACACCCATTTTGGGTGTTTTAGTGAAACTCCCATTAATTTATTAGATCAATATGAATAAAAAGTGCAAAGGACACAGACTAATTTTTTAAAAATAAAAAAAATGAGAATTCTATCACTGAATCTGAAAGGAAAGATAACATTACATCCTATATAATTTCCTTTATGTAACTATTAAATTTGATCTTTACGTTATAAAATGCATAAAACAATATTGCGAAACTTTCCATAGAAAGAAAAGGTTAGATAGCAAATTATGCGTGTATATAAAAATACGTTAATGGTAAAAATCACCAATAAATTTCTTTAATCAGATAAAGTGAATAAGAAGAATAATATAAGAAGTATTGCATGCACTTTTGATACTGATGGTGGGAACTCTTTGAAAATAACTATAGAATGAGAGAACATATAGCTTCATACAATTTCTATTTTGCCTTCATGCATGCATGCTTATCAAGTCTTTAAATATTAAATAAATAACCAATTCCATAAATGATATATCGGGGGGAAAAATGTCACACATGGAATGGAACAATGAAAATTATTCGCTTGACCTTATCAACTTTAGTTCGGAAATTTTACGGTTGAAGCCCTAAGGGCATGTTGTGTGGGAGTGCTTCTGAAATAGCCAAAAAAAAATTCTGATAATTAAAAGTGTTTATGATAGTGTTAGTGCTTCTTCACGAAGCACTTGAATTTTTTATTTATGAAAATTTTAATATTTTTATAATAAAAATATTTTTACTAGAAGCGTTTATGAGTAAAAGTGCTTCTTAAAGAAGCATTTCCAAAAGAGCCCTAAGATTTAGCTCAAGAAAGTTAGCTCAAGTGGTGATAGTGGGTGAAGAAATAAGTTTATAATTATGTTATATTAAAAGTTCAATTCTCTTTCTTAATTAATATCTAAGGATGTCATGCATAATTTTCTTTCTTGAAAGTCAATTCGTGCATAATTTGGTCCATGCCTTTTCTGCTTATATAGGAATGAAAGAACGTACATCGTATGGGGAGAAACATATCGAAGATTTGTCTTTTTGATATAAAATATATAAAATATGATAGTCAAAGGAGAGAGAGAGGACAGGGGCCAAAAACACATGAGAAAGAAAAGGATCATACTTTACTTGTAACCATCCATCTGTAAGATCTCCTCTGCACGCCAAAATGAAAATCAAAACCGAATTTAAAGAAATAATTCTAAAATACATTTCCAAAATTGAAGAAGTCAAGAATGTACTGACAATTAAAATTATTTGTATCACTTCTGTTGATTACTATTGGTAATCTAGTTCACCTGATCTCTAATGACAAAGAAATTTCCTAGTCACTTACTGGTAGCTATTGATTTTAAATACATTAATAATTTCTTAATCTCAAAATAAAGATAATCAATAACGGTATAACATACGTGACAACATTTTCACACAACATAACATTATTAGTTGAAGATAACAAAACAGTGTTATACCCATTGCAACTAAGTTTTTCTCGTATTATTGACCCATAAATCATTATTTTTATGTATTTTATAAACAATTTTATGAGTGATTTTTCTAATGTGATTTGCAATAGCTAATTACTAATTAGATCTGCCCAAATCCCAATTGTTCTGCACCGGAAAGTTTCCCCTTCAATGCCCCCTCCTGTTTCCTATTTCTTCACCCCTAATCGTACAAAACAATCCGACGGCGAATAACCCACCGCGAGAATCACCAAGTCCCTAAACGCAATATCAACGGCCCCTATTGAGGCCTCGAACGTCAAACCTTCATAGTATGCACCTCGCCGCAGACAATCCCTCCACCTCATTATTTTATTCAATGGAATTTTAAAAGGGTACAAAACAGAAAGACCAAATAAAGAAACGGGATCCTGCCACCTCACGATTCCGTACGTACGGCGCTGACGTGGCAGAAGATGGAAACGGGAGCAGAGTTAAGTAACGTACTCAAAGGGGCAGAGTATCGGAGTGTCAGTCTGTTTCTTGGTGCCAAAGCAATTCGACTGAGATTGCAAGTTTTGATAAAAAGCCCAATAGACTCCAATGCCCATTGAATTCTTAGACCGAAACTCTCGCACTTTCCGAATTTCACAAACCAAAAACCCTTCTCTCTCAACCCTCATTGCCTCTCTTTGCTCGGCTTCAATGGCTGGCAAGGACCTTGAAGAACTGGGTTCCCTTAGGAAGAGAAAGCGCAGGACTCAGAATAAAAAAAAGCTTATTGTTGGTGACAAAGTTGAGGTAATGTCACCTTCTTTCAGCTTTAGTGTTTTTGGGTTTTGCAGAAAAATGAGTTCTTGGGCTGTGATTGTTGTGTATTTTGTATTTGTTTGGCTTTGTTTTGGGTTTTGTGCATCATCTAAAGCAAAACACTCTTCTTCTCCGCAAAAAGAAAATAACTTAAACATGGGATTTAAGAGGGGTTTTAGAAAGATAGCGACTTTGTGGATGTGTCCAAGGAAGGAGACAAGTTCTAAGAAAAGGTAGCAAAGTTACCACAATTTTATGAAGTCAAGCAAGCAGAGTGTGGATGTTGGGGGCTCAAAGAGCAATGCATGCCAGCCGATTTCACTGATGTTCATGAATCCTTTTCAGGAAAATGGGTTTTTGCTTCCCCCTTCAACAAAAGAGCTTCAAATTTCTGCAAGCATAATTGCAATAAAAGCTTTCTATAGCAATTTTAGAGATGATTTGTATTTAACTAAAGGTCTCACCTTGTCAAGCTGCAAACTGGCCACCCTCTGCCCCTAACTCTGTGAATCCCTTTGAAATTCCCTTATTTGAGTTATTTTATTTTTGTAGAGAAGAAGACTGTAACTTAGTTGATGTTGATGTGGTCCACATTGGACCATTGTTTTTCTTATATGGCTGCGATTCAAAATCTGGTATACTTTTAGCCTAGGAGAGGATCCAAACCCACTGTTTGGCTGTTTTAATTTTATAGGAAATTTTTCTTTCTTTATCTGGGTTGTTTTTAACTTTTTACTCTCTCTCTCTCTCTCTCTCTCTCTCTCTCTCTTTTTGTTCTTGTTTTTAAATTTTAAATTATGTTTCGCTACTTTGCCTATATGTTGTTTGCTGTTAACCAAAAAAAAAAAAAAAACTAATTTCTGGGTCCAGTGCCACCTTGTGTACTGTAATAGCTTTTGGGTTCAAGCCAAATTCTCCAAAATTGATTATGGCTACCTTGCCTTTAATGTTACTCTCGTTGTTGTGGTTTATGGCTTATTTAGGTTCATTTTTCCATTTATGCATGGTTTGATTTTGGTTCTCATTAAGGTAATGGATATTGTGCTTATTTTTTACTTCGTTTGTTTCACGAAGGTACTCATTATAGATATGGCAAAGTGTTCATTAGGAATTTCAAGATCTGTTTAAAAATAAATAACATCTGAACTTTTGCAGGTGAGGAGTCTAGAAGATGGGTTTCATGGGTCGTGGCACCCTGGGATTGTTACTGCATGCAAGAAGCAAGGTTGTCGTCAAGTTCAATACGACCATATTCTATCTGATGACGGGTCTGATAATCTGGTTGATGTTGTGTCTGTTTCACCCATTCTGGATGGTATTGGCTCATTCACTCGGGACTGGAGTAACTATCGTGGGTGTATAAGGCCAACACCCCCTTGCATCCAGCCAGGGGAATGGGACCTTCCCTATGGACTCTGTGTGGATGTGTATCATCTAGAGGCTTGGTGGGAAGGTGTTATCTTTGATCATGAAGATGGTTCAGAGGAGAGAAGGATCTTCTTCCCGGATTTGGGGGATGAACTAAAGGCTCGGATTGACACTTTGCGAATTACTCATGACTGGGATGAGGTTACAGAAAATTGGAAGCGGCGTGGAACTTGGATATTTCTTGAGTTGCTTGAGCAATATAATCAGGAGAGGTATATTGCCGTTTCTGTGAAGCAAATTTGGTATGACGTGCGAGAAAAAGAACCCTTCGAGTGGACTTCTTTAATGAGACATGT